CCACGCCAGGCCGGCCGCGGGGTCGGTGGGCAGCCGCCGCACAGCCACGCTGCTAACTGGCACTGTCCGCTCACAGAGGAAGGCGCTGCCGGCTGGGGAGCCTCCCGCCTCTGCAGACTCAGCTTCTCTCACCCCCGTGAAGGAGCACGGGGTGCTGTTTGAGTGCTCCCCGGAGCCATGGGCTGACCAGCACAAAGCCCCGCCGGTGCTGGCCTACTGGGTGGTGGGGTGAGTGACCAGACGGGCTGAGGGACGGGGCCTGGCTACGGGGCGCCGGGGTGAGTGACCAGGCGGGCTGAGGAACAGGCCTGGCCACTGGGCAGCGGGGTGTGGGGTGAGGGGCCAGGCGGGGTGAGGGTCGGGCCTGGCCGCCCAGGCGCTGGAGGAAGCTGGCTGAGAAGCCCGCGGCTGACATCCTGCTGCATCGTCTTTTGGATTCGATTCAGTACAGATTAAAACTTCAGCTCAGGAAGCCAGTTTGCCTGGTCGCCCTGCTCAGCGCTGTGTGCACCTCGGTGCCATGGCCGCCGCTGCTGCCCGTGGGGCAAGGGGCCGCGGGCAGCGCGTGGACGGCGCCAGGGCTGTGGTGACGCAGGGGGACAGCAGGTGGACAGAGCAGGCTTTTCGCACTCTGGGCAAAGACAAATAACTGGCCCAGGGCAAATGTCTTTGGAAGTGAGGCTGGCCGCCCCGGCACCCCCAGTGCGGGGTAGCCGGCGGCGGTGCATTTAGCTGAGTCTGGGGCGCGCGGGCGGGGGCCGGGGGGCGGCTCTCCGCTCAGCAGGCGGCCCTTGCTCTGCAGGAGGCTGTTCCTGCGCCCCCAGGTGCAGGAGCTCTACGTCTGTTTCCACGACTCGGTCACCGAGGTCGCCATCGAGATGGCCTTCAAGCTGTTCTTCGGGCTCACCCTGTAGCCACGCGTCCCGGGCCACGGCGCCCGGCCGCCGGCTCCGGACGGACACCTGGCCGCGAGGGAGGCCGCGCTGGCCAGCGCTCACGTCTGCCGGGTCTGAGATGACTCGAAGCGCGTGGCAGCCAGTCAGGGCGCCCCCCCCCCCGAGGAGGGGCCCGAGCCGCTGTGCGTCTCAGGCAGACACCGGACCGCGTGGCCCCTCCGCGGTCAGCGGCGCTTTGCCATGCCCACGCTGGCTCCCAGGAGTCGGACGCGCGCCCGCGGAGAGACGAAGTAAAACCTGAACTTGTCTGATTTCCTGTGCTCGTTCCGGTGTGTTCTGACTGGGACGGCTTTCGGCCTGTCTGCCCGTAAACGTGCTCCACTGACCGCCGCACAGACACGCAGCGTGGGCGGCAGCGCGTGCCCGCTGGAGGGCGACACGGCCACGCCCAAGGCGCGCAGGAAGGTGGCTGAGGACACCCGCCAGGCCTTCACGCCGCGTCACTCGGCCTCAGGCTGCCGAGGGGGACGTTCCGTGGGGCGCGCTTGCTGGGCCTCCGGCGGAGGGGCGTTCCGGGGCTCAGC